AGTGGCCGAAAAGCTTTTCCTTCTTTTTTAATATTTTACTAGATTTTGACACCCGCGGCAAGCACGGGATTAAATGATTAAATATTTTGACTAGTCAATTTTTATATTGAAACGCATATAACAAAGAATATGATTTCTAATATCTATAAACGTAAAAATAATATTTATTGTGTATAAATGTAATAAAGTTAAATTTTGATCATACATATTTTGATACCATTAGTTTTAATATTTTATGTATAAAATTGATTAAAATATATGCAAATGTTATATAATTTACGTGTAAAATTGATTTTCATTGCCACCAAAAAATTGGTAAGTGTAATACTACTTTAGTTGGGTTTAGATTTGTAAAACATGTACTAATGAGTTTATGTTATAAAATTATTAAAAATATGTAGAAATTTTCTCCATGACATACAATTTTAATTGAAATATTCTAAATGGTTATTTTAAATGACTTGTCTCATAAATCGCTCTTTGAACGACGCATAGGATTTTCTATTTAGTGTTTCCTCAATTGATATATAGATGATTTTTTCATCTTTTGCTGTCGGCAATCACATTTTATTGAAATAAAGCCCAAGAAAGGCCATTACAAAGTGAAAATCGAAATATCATTCTAAAAGCTCAAAACAATTGGACCCAAACGAATGGATAAGTTTGAAAGTATTTGACATTTTTTTTTTGACACATGAATTGATTTTCTTCCATACATCAAGAAACCTATCTAATCGAAACTTCACCGCCGTCCACTGTCAAGTTTCATCAAGCACATCAGATCACCACCAAACATCCTATGCAGATCTAAACCAGCATCTAAATTGACAGAATCTTTCTCCTTTTCTTCAAGTTAAATCATCCCTACGCTTTCTTTTAACAAATGAAACTTCACCCCATTGCCTAAATCTAGGACCCATGAAAGGAAGAGTGAAGATAGAATTTACTCCTTCATTGAAAGAAAAAGTTTGGACGTAAGATGGAAGAAGAAAATGAAACAAACAAAGTTTATTGGGATTTATAGACTTTCATATGCAGAAGCATATAATATTAGATTGAAGAGCACATAAGAAATTCATTTAATTTGCAAAAGGAAACAACACCAATCCGGAACTTGCCGGAAAAGTACTCTGAAACAAACGAAAACTAGATATGGTTTTAACCGAAAACAACAAACTAGCCTATATAAACATATATACACAGCCACGATACCGGCCAACGCCGTCGCCGGACAGACACAAACCCACTATTAGATTCTTTAGTTTTCGAAAAGAGAAGACAGAGCAAAGCTTTTTAGAGAGAGAAAACTTCTGGATATTTTCATCTTTTTAGTGCTAAATATGCTAGATGAGCGATAGAGCTCGTC